AATAATTGTATGATTTGGTTGCAGGGCATTTCAAATGAATGAATTTTGTCAAGTGGAGTGAACTTCTACAGACGTCCCCTGAGGAGAGTGAGTGTGTAGGAGCCTGTGAATCGTAACGCAGCTCTAATGGAACTCCATTCCAGCAGGGTGGTTTGTTAAATGCCGTCATTATTATTTCCTCCTGTCAAAACTGCAGTTTCTGTGACAGATGCACCTGTCGTTCAGATTTCCAAAACAGGATATTTTTGTCTCGATATATGTCATTTCTGTTCTTATAGCTGTCTGTAAGGTAAAGGGGAGCAGTTCCACCTGAGAGAGCCAGTATGTACGTCAGTTACATGTCAAACTGGTGCCTTAATGACAGCTGGCTGAGTGTGGGACAAGCATGGTAAAATCACTGTTTTGGTGAAAATCACTCAACCTTTATAGATGGCTGCGATGGAATCTACATTCACATATGTACATATGTGAATGTAGATTCCATCGCAGCCATCTATAAAGGTTGAGTTCATCTAAAGATGAAAATCTTTGAATAGTTTTCTCACACTCGTCATTCTAATCTATTCTTTCTTCAGTGCAACATAAACATTTTGAAGAATGTTTTTGTCCATATAGTGAAAGTAAATGGGCTCCAGAACAACTCCATTGTATGGGTAAAAAACAAACAAAATGTATTACATAGTTTGGCATAATCTTACCTTAATATTTCATGGAAAAGAAATATAATATTTTAACAAAACTGCTTCACATTTTACGTTGTTTTTATTACACAAACTCAAATTAATGGCACTACCAAATGCTATCATATAAGACTCATAACTGTGTATTGAGGTCAGTAAGTCTCTTGAAATGCCATGTGGTGCAACTTCCCCAAAAATGAGTAACTTCCAATAAGCCTATTTTCAGGCGCTGCGTAATATCATTACAGATCATTAATCATTATCATTAAATAGGAAAAATATAGAAACTCTTTGGTCATTTTTGAGCGAGATGCTAACGGTCTAATCAGATTCAATGATATATGCTAAGCTAAGCTAAAAGTGCTACCGCCAGACCCGGAGATCGGTTGAATGGATTCGAAAACGGTAAAACTCAACTGATTAACTCTAGGGGAGTTGGAAAATGAGCCTATTTTCAAAAATAGTGGAGTGTTCCTTTAAGTTCACCATTGGTATTCAGTTCACTGTTTTGCTCCATCGTTATGTGCATGGCAGCGAGAGAGTATAGTGGTAAAGTTTTAGGTAAGCTTATGTTGTAGGCAGAATTTTTTACTGCCACAGTCGGCTTTGGATTCTTCACTGAGGGTTTGTTAGGCGTTATTCTATTTTTTATAAAGCTGCTTTAGCAAGATTTGTATTGTGTAAAGTACTAAACAAATACATTGGAACTCAGTTTAATGACCCAATGGCACATCATGTCTTGTTTTCAGCCGTTGATTATATGAATCAACATATGTGGCTCAGTTCCAAAATCTAGTGAGCGGCATACATAGCTTAAAGCACATGAAGGTATAATTATACTGCCTTCTGAGATAACAAATTCAGACAGCGTAACATGTATTTTCCATGGAGAGGAAAATCCTATTATGCAGCATAACGTAAAAAAAAAAAAAATCCAAAATGGAGGACAAAGTCTGATTTATACTTTCAAAGCAATCAACACAATAATTCAATACAATTTAAATGGTGTTTTTTTAGCAGCATGCTAATGCAAAATTCAACTGAAATCTAAAGTGAGTAAAGTGCAATGTTCACTTATGACTGCTGGTTGTTAATTAGACTGCGATACACTACTACTATTTAAACGTTTGGGGTTAGTACGATTTTTTTTGTTTACTTTTAATCAGCAAGGATGCATTAAATTGACCAGAAGTGGCAAAAAAAAAACGTATCACAGTTTCTACAGAAATAGGCAGCACAACTGTTTTCAACATTGATAATAATAAAAATGTTTCTTGTGCGGCGAATCAGCATATTAGAATGATTTCTGAAGGATCACGCGACACTGAAGACTGGAGTAGTGATGCTGTAAAAAAAACACAGGAATAAAATACAGTTTAAAATATCTTCAAATAGAAAACTGCTACTTTAAAGTGCAATTATATTTGTTTTTACTGTATGTTTAATCAAATGCATCCTTGTTGAGCATATGGATTGTCAAAAACATAACAAATATTTAAGATCATCTTGTAAACACTGTTATTATTGTGTGTGAAGGACTGGTTACTGCTGTCGAAATGCATTATACATGCCATAACCCACAGCAGACATGATGAATAACCCGCAGGGATTACAACACTGAGGTTATTATAGCAACTGTGAAGAGGTCACCGCTGCTGATTTCTTGAATAAAAGTTTGATAAGACAACTGGACTGGAAGCATTACATAATTACACTGTATCAATAAAAGGAACGATATTTATTCGGAAATGTTCATTATGCAAGTCTCACTATTAGGGCTGCACTGTTAAACCAGATGAACCCATTAGTGTGCTGATCTAACCGAAACCTCAGGCTCTTACAGCAGCCATCCGGCTAAATCATAAATGCAGTTCAGACCGAATGGGAATCATCAAAGGGATTTTTTGTTGTTGTTGTTTCATTTAAGTAAATGTTTTTTAGGAGCAGTACAATTACACACAAATGAGACAATTTGTGTAAGTGTGCAGAGTTTTAATGAATCATCACAGCTCATTTGTGACTGCATTAATTGGACAAAAAATGCTTGAGTTTTTTATATATATATATATATATATATATATATATATATATATATATATATCCAAATAGTCTGCAAATGAATTGAATTAAACTGAAACAGATCTAATCTGGTCCAGTTTGCAGCTTATTGTGGCCAAAAAGGTCCACTAAAACAGAAAGAGACTGTTTGACTGACATGTTAAGGTACCAGCATTTATGTGCCATTTAAGATGGTAAATCTAAACATAGCCAAACTATAACAGACTGAACTCGAATTAGGATGAACTGCAAACAATTGCATTTTTAAACGTTTCATGGGAATATCTGCTGGTTTGCAGATATTGGTTAAATTGGTTAAACAGAATTTAAAGTACACTGAATGGAATTTTGGGTTACACACACTTGTCATTATTACACAAATAAGACCTAAGCATTATAAATTAACATAATAATTATTACAATAATAATAATTATGCACTTATTATAGGGTTTGGTATTGGTCAATTGCTTTTAATTATGCACAATTTACTGATATTACCGTAGTAAGTACATGTAATATTTAAAACAAGGACACTGTTTTACAAGGATCAACCAAAAGTAAGCTTTTCTTAATTCGGTGATCAGTATTTCATCAGATTTAGTGTAAATCTGAAAAATATGATACTGCAATGATTAATATCTAGTTTGGTTGCTAGTAAGTGCCTCAAACAAAAACTCAAAAGGTCTTGGTGAATTAGAGGTAGGGATACATCTTTTCTTCCATATTGTGATGTACATCCAAGTGTAACGGATTTTTGAAAATGTAAAAATGCAGGACGGGGACTTGGTTCAATCCATCGGTTGTTGTTTGGATTTTGGAGTGTGGTCGTTGCTCTTACAAATGAATGTGAGCTTGTTGACTGTGGAGGGGACAAAATGATTGGAGAAGTTTGGTATATTTCACCAACATTTTGGTCAAATATTTTAACCTCTTAAGACCCGGCAAAACATTTGAGGAAAATATTAGTATTTTTTCATGTCTTTACATTGTTTAGAGCATAAAAAAAAAGTAAAAAAAAAAAATTTTTAATTATAGTTCATTCATAAGTTATGCTACGTCCTTGGTAGAGGACATCGGGACTCAATTTCTGCATAGGCAAAAACAATAGATTTTTTTTTAAATAACCAATACATTTTTAGTTTTCAGGCTTTTTTTTTTTTTACCAAACTTTGTATAAAGATGATTCTCAACTATGTTATAACAGAATGATTTGATATACCATTTTTCTTTATGCAAAATGGCCATAAACAGGTTTTCTCATTATATATAATGTATCTATAAACTAAATCTAATTTGCATATTAATGTAATGAAAAAAGAAGTGTAATAATGGGAGTAATATTTGGCAAGATTTTCATAATAATATATAATATTTCATAGGAATAGTGAAATATATTTTCTTTCCCTATTCATTTGTTGTGTCTCCCAAAATGCACAATAAACACGCTTTTAGTCATTCCAGCTTCATATGAGGACATGTATGAAATCAACGTCCTGTTTCGAAACAGAAAGTCATATTTTGATTTGAAACCCCATAAGACGGCCAGTGAACGAACTTTGGGTGTGCTTTCTCAGGCTGAGACTACTGTGACCAGGGAGAAGTGTAACAAACTGATACTCACAATCCCGATGAGGGTGTTTAGAACGGCGAGTGAACGTACCGCAGCATCGCATGCCTGTCTGGTTCTCCAGCGGGCTGAGCTGCTGCCAGCCAAGCATCTGTACTCATCCTGTCATTCCCAGTGAGGAAAACGAAGTAGAACGCTTAGGAGAGAAACCTCAAACAACACACTAATGTCAGGGGAGAAATAGAGCAGCGCTGCTAGTTCTTTTAGATGAGGAACAGACAGACAGGATTTGAGATGACAACAAGCACAAAAACAACCTGGGTGCCGGAGAGGAGGGGAGAGAGAATAGAGAAGGGGAATTGGGGGATGCTGCGGGAGGGAGGGAGGGATGGAGACACAGAGAGGAGGGTGACGTGGAAAAGGAAAAGAAAGGAAAGAACAGGAGAGAGAATAGAGCGGCACAGAGACAGACAGAGGTAGAGCAGGGGCAGGAGACGCCACACTCCATCCGGCAACCATGACAACCGAAGCAAGCTTCATGCCAAGCCCCCGTACCCTCACGCCACCGATAAGGGGGCTGTGAACAACAGGGACGACTGCAATACACGTTGGGACACTGAAAACCTGGAATGGTTTAGATGATTTTGCTCTTTTGTTCAGGATCGATTCGTTTTTATTCCCACCCTTTCACCTGGGGTTGAATCCAGCTCTCTCCTGCTGTTTATCAGGGTGGGCTGAACCCGGATTAAAGGGAACAGCTGGGAACCACACACCGGAGCCTTTTCCACTGTGACCCATCAATGGACTCCCTGAGGTGGGCTTAACACCGCTCAATGACTCTCCACCGGAGCAAACGACCTGCCGGCAGGCTTGGAGACCGAATTTTCTTGAAAATCGCCTGTAAGACAGAAGAGACGAAACATGTAAGCCAGAAGACACAGGGTGAGTGCACTTTCCCAATTTTGCATGCAGAACATTTGGAATCATTTGGAAAGGTATATGCATTTGTAAACTGTTGCAGAAGGCGCAGTGGGATCAGTAGAGAGACAAAAAACAATATACGTATTAAAAGTATTTGCTAATATATGATTTTTAGAAAGGTTTACACTACACTCTAAAAAATGCTGGGTAAAATAGGGACAAACCCAGCAATTGGGTTGTTTTGACCCAGTGGTTGGGTTACTACCCAGAAGGTTGGGTTAAACATTTAACCCAACCGCTGGGTCAAAACAGCCCAATTGCTGGGTTTGTCTCTATTTTACCCAGCACTGGGTTGTATTTAACCCAGCATTTTTTAGAGTGTACTAAGACTATTACATCCTCATTCAGATTATTTGTTAAGCAATGTCAAAAAAACCTAAACATTTTAGCGTGGTGGTCGCTTGTGAATGTCAACAGGTTATTAAGACTTGAATGAATCTCCCACAGCGATGCTCGATAGCTTGTCCTCAGGAAACAGTACCATGTGTCCCTATGACTTGCTACTGATATAATTAACTGGATACTGAACTTAGACGCAACCTTTAACAGATTGAACTCTAATAAGGGTAAATTGCAAAAGAAAGGTAAATAAAATTTATTTTTAAACGTTTCATGGGAATATCAGCCATTTTGCATGTCCTCATTCATAACAAATTGGTTAAAATGTAAAGTAGATTTTTGGGAATTATAGAAATTATTCTGTAATAATAATAATTAAAATTATATATATATATATATATATATTTAAATAATAATAATTTGTAACATTTGTTTGTTATTCAGAAGTATTATTTATTATTGAAAGTTCAACAGCAAAATTCTGAAATGAAATTATTAAAAACAAAGAAAACAACAACTGCTATTTTCAGGCACAGAATTTTTTCAGCGTTTCCTGAAATTTGGCCCAGTAAGGCCAATGAGGAAATCATCTAGATTTTTTTGGCAGCACTGAAAAAATGATGGTTCATGAGCATACTAGAAGAGATGAAAATGGTTCAGTAATACAGTATGTAGGTTACAGGTACTGTATGTTGCACTGATGGTCACAGGTGTGCATTGATGGACTTGACTTCTGTTTTCAGGTTTCAGGCTCAGATCAACCTCTGTGTAAATAACATGAAATTTCAAGGTTGCTTTCATGCATTATGTAACAGCATGTGGGTCAGCATCTTTACAGTTAATTTCTGTACACAGACTCTTTTCGTCTGCTCGTTTCATTTGACTCTTCACCAAGAGTACTGTAATACACTGTTCTCCATATCAAAATGTTTCCAGGAATATCTCACAAATGTGAAACTGTAACACAGCAACAAGGTGCGAGTCAAACGCTCAATTATCACTAAAAGTGTGCTTGATAATTGGCTCTTTAGTGTTAACAGTGCATGCATGTTGCTTAATAGTGTGTATTAAAATTAAGCAAATTATTCCTACCAGAAAAAAAAAACAGAAATGGTATCCCAGTCCGCCCAAAACTTTGTCCTGACCGATATGAATTCAAAGGACAGCTATGAACAAATATTAATATGCTATGTTCAGAACGGAATATTAATGTGCAGCATACTGCACAGTACGTACTGTATACTATATACAAAATGTGAAACCGTAGCAATAAATTTACCCATATTGTTGTGAAATGACAGTGTAGTTCTGTTCTGTTAACATTAATTTATGTTAATTTAGGTTTTTTAATTCAAGCATGATCAATATGATCATACAAAGAAATGTTGAAAAAAGTCATAAAATAGTCACTAAATCCTTCATTCATCACACTGGAAATGAAAGGTGGAATCGAGCACATTGCATTATGGGATACAGTATTTTACTGTATACTCCACATGTGTGTGTATACCATTCACACAGAATAGTTGCATAATAGGCACAGTATGTTACTTCAGGACAGATTTTGGAAATGTGCAGTTTTGCGCTAATGCTAATATGATCTTTTTCTGACCTAAAGTTATCTTGAGTCTGTCATGTTTACTGTAAATTTCACAGGAACAACAAACTATTAACCAGTTGGATATTAGCAATAGGAAATGGGGTAAGGGTAGGATTAAGTGTCAGGTTGGTTAAGGTGTGCCTGGTTAGCATGGGCAAGTTAGCTGCTGCTGGTAGATGCAAATACTCCACATTTGTGTATCCCATTCACACAGAATAGTTGCATAATAGGCACAGTATGCATACTGCATGCATGCCACAAAAACAGCATGGTTGTATGCTATTCTGAATACATTCCTCTTGTCTTTGTGTTTACTGTAGTCGCATTAGTGAAAAAAAGCTCTACGTAATTTTATAGCACAGTGATGATAATGGTACTGATGACAAATAATGGTACTGTGATGCCTCCTGCGATCATATTAGTATCAGCTTAGGAATATATAAGCCCCAAAATGATCCTATTGCACGTCTCTGTGTTTTATCACAGAACAGCCATCTGACATCACCTCACTACATCCTGAAGTCAGTACATCTGACACCAGTCTGGCTAATGACCCTGTTCTGTGGTGAGGACCGCATACGGGGATCTTGTCACTATGAGTCACTTTAACAAAGTGGCGTTCAGGTTTTACATAGCCAAGCCCCTCTCGTCCGCTCTGTGAAAAACAACAGTGGAGGGATTGTGACGCAGGTGGGCTCTGTAGAGTTAACAGCGATCAGTACAGTGAGAGACACAGAGAGAGAGAGAGAGAGAGAGAGAGGAAAATGATTTCTGTGCCGTGGAATTACTAACTGGCTCCCCCACACTCTAGTAAACAGCTGCCTGTGCCTAATTAGCGTTTCGAACTGAATGTCTGCTCTGTGTGTGGGCTCCAGTCTCAAAAACACACTCACTGTTATGGCCAGCTGATGCTTTTACCTAATACCGACTACCCTGATGCGGTCTGTGTGACTGTGGCTTCCTTTCTTTTCTCTACATGCCCCACAATTCCTGACAAGTATTCCTGAAGTATACTCTGGGCCTGGGCTGTTGTTCACAGCTGAAAAAAGAAACGGAGGAAACAGAGCAACAAACACACTACTACAAATGCAACAACAGACAACAGTGTTGATGAGCACTTGTGTGGGTGGGTTAAGAGATACTGCAACTCTAGTTTAAATGAGTGCAAAGATATTTTATTAGTCATAACTTCTGCAGACACTGGACAAGGATAAAACTTTCTAGAGCACGTGTCAAATGTTGGTGTTTGTGTACACTTTCGAATTGAGGTTACTTTGAAAGGGTATGCATTCATGTACATGCATACATCAAGTGTTTACGTGAAAACTGATGTATATTTTGGGATTTATTGGAAAGGCTTGCATGCTCAACTGTGCAATGCTATGAATTATGTCTACCAGGAGCTGAAGTGAGTCTTATTACTTCAGGACAGATATGCCTCTGCTAATTTTGGAAATATGCAGTTTTGCGCTAATGATAATATGATCTTTTTCTGACCTAAAGTTATCTTGACTCTGTCTTGTGTACTGTACATTTTTAGCAGTCTGGAACAACAAACTTAACCAATTGGATATTAGAAATAGGAAACTGGATAACGATTAAGTTTCAGGTTGGTTAAGGTGTGAATGGTTAGCATGGGCCAGTTAGCTGCTGCTGCTAGTAGATGCAAATTCTGCTGCCAAAAAGCATCTTTCTCTATAAGTGGCTCTGTATTCTGATGCAATATTTTTTGGAAGCAACATATGAATGACAAATATTTCATTATATTATTAAAGATGTTTGCCAGTAACCAATTTTTGGATTGCTCAAAAGCATGAAAATGACTTCAATCAGAATCACAAGCATTACATGGTATTTACAGCTTTGGTGATTGGCTCTGCAAACAGGCCACATACCTCCAATAGATCCTACATCAGACAAGCTATTGCCAATGAGATGTATAGGAAATGTTTCAGCTATTACAGACCTATTTGCGTTGGGGTTAGGGGCTCATTCAATAGTCTCATTAAGCTATTATTTCTCTCTGATTTGGGGGGCAGTTCATATTTAGTTATATTTATGGCAAGAATATTGTTCCAGGACTGATTATCACTGTCCTTTGCTCACGATTTAGTGATCTTGGCCTTTCGTTAGGCCAAGACTAATGAAGCTCAATGAACCAATGACCATATGCAGTCGAAATGAAAGCCCAAATTACATTAACACAATCTGCCGTTGGTCAGACAATATTTAGTCCTGCCTCAAACTAATGCCATTGGTAGAGCCAATGTTGCGCTCGGGCTAGTTGAGATGCTCACGCAAACAGAGCAATGATTTGAACGAACAACTGATTCAGCCTTTGAATGGCTTTGCATACTATAAGAAGGAATTGTCCAAATCATCTGGTCATCCGATGTACTCTGTGTCCTAACCAAACACAGATCAATACGATTCTGGCAACTAAAATTTTTTCTTTCTCTCTCTGCAGACGTTGCCTCGCACTCGCGAGTTGGAAAAGTACATTATCAAATTAATATAAATGTAATCATTATTAAAAATATTTTTTTGTCACTGAATGCACATTTTTAATTTTCTTGTTCAGTTTTATTTATTTTCAAGATCTGCGGTAAATTACCCATTGTCGATTTCATTATCGACATTATTAATACACATATTTAGTACCTTAGATTTTCATTGTCATTGGACCCATTGTATGTTCTTGTAATATAAACTATTCCAAAAATAGAGTCCCTTGTTACTCACTGCATATCACCATTGCAACTGGTTAAGACACCCAAAGGACCTCACATTCCAGAGTTTGCCAGTTGTCCTTTCCATTCCCTAGCTTGTCCCAGCTTCTAAAGGAAAATTGTGAGCAGAATTTTGAAAAACCTGCTGGGTGTGATTGCCTTGGCCCAGTTTTCCTCAAGATATCTGCTTCTATCATTGCAGCAGCCCTCACTCATATTTCCAATCAGTTTCACTTTACTGCTGAAATAGCCATGGTTTGGAAACTATTAACTGTGCAGTCCTTATTTAAAGG